CTCAGTTTGTCTTGCATGATATCATTTATGCAAGTGGCCTGGTCAGCCAGTTTGTCCTGGGCCCAGGCCCTGAGTTGCTCACAGAAAACAATGATTGACTGAAAATCCGTATCAGTGGTGAGGACAGCATCATTAAAACTCCTTTCCATAATTGGCCAGTAGGCATCCCCAGCCTTGATCTCACATAAACTGTACAAATCACGCCAAGCTGCTGAGTACGTTTTACGAATCTGAGCAATTCTTCGGAAAAAGGGCATGGGTTGTTTTTCTGGATCAGGGAGAGAAGTTACCAGGGTCGCAGCTTGGGACGGGTTAAATGTAACATAAATTGGTGGGGCACCTTCCACTGCTGACGAGGCAGGGAGGTGAGTAGCTGCAATCGTCTGTCTCTGGGAAATTCTGTTATTTGAGGGACGGAATGGGCTAAAGTCTGGCACATTGTCGTTCCCGGGTGGGACTGGGAGACCATGGTAACTAACAACATCAAGTGAGTTGGAGCCATCGGGGTGTCGGAACCGGGAGGACCAACAGCGATGGTCTGGGGAGTGACTAACTGAGACGTAGTGGGATGGAAACCTGATGTAGCGGGAGAAGCGTTAGTGGCCTGAGGTTGTCCTGATGTGACAGACTCATTTGTCCCAACACTCATGAGTAGGTAACTGGGGGTGTTTATCGGAGGGGCAGGGATGGGGGCTGGAGCAGGTGAAGGTGTGGGTTGAATAAGCTGAGACAGGTGATTGGAGAGAGAGGAGATGAATGACGTGAGATCATGGGAGGATACACCAGGATTGGAGGTAGGAGGGGGAGGAGAATCCGGAACAGAAACAGGATGAGCAGATTGGGGAGAAGGAGGAGGAGGAGAAATAGGTGGGATAGTGAACAAGGCTAGAAGGGCGGAAATAAGTGACGTAACGTTGGTATCAGGGGGAGGGGGAGAAGGAGGTTCTGACATGGGAGCTGCAGGGATGGGAGGAGATGGAACAGTGAGAGTGGAGGCAGGGGCGAGGAAAGTAGAGAGGGTGGAGATGAGGGACGGAAGATCACGAGGAGAGGAGGGGGAATCTGAAATGGGGGCAGGAGGAGTAGGAAGGGGTGGAGAATTAGGAGTGGAAGTAGAGGCAAGTGAGGCAGAGAGGGTGGAGATAAGGGATGAAAGGTCAAGGGGGGGTGAGAGTACGGGAAGAGGAGAAGGTTCTGGAATAGGAGCAGGAGGAATGGAGAGGGGTGGGGAAGTAGGAGTGGAGGTAGAAGTGAGCAAAGCGGCGAGGGCTGAGACGAGAGAGGAAAGATCGGAGGGAGGAGAGGATACAGGAGGTGAAGGCTCTGGAACAGGAGCAGGGGGAGTGAAAAGGGGTGGAGAAATAGGAGTAGAGGAGGAAGTGAGCGAAGCGGCGAGGGCTGAGATGAGGGAGGAGAGATCGGGGGAGGAGTGGGTACAGGAAGTGAAGATTCTGGAACGGGAGCAGGGGGAGTGGAAAGGGGTGGAGAAATAGGAGTGGGGGTAGGAGTGAGCACAGTGGTGAGGGCTGAGACGAGAGAGGAAAGATTGGGGGGAGGAGAGGATACAGGAGGTGAAGGTTCTGGAACGGGAGCGGGGGGTGGAGAAGTAGGAGTAGAGGAAGAAGTGAGCGAAGCGGCGAGGGCTGAGATGAGGGAGGAGAGATCGGGGGAGGAGTGGGTACAGGAGGTGGAGAAGGCTCTGGAACGGGAGCAGGGGGAGTGGAAAGGGGTAGAGAAGTAGGTGTGGGGGTAGGAGTGAGCACAGTGGTGAGGGCTGAGACAAGGGAGGAGAAGTCGATAGAGGGAGAAGGGAGGGGATTGGAAATGGGAAGGGGAGAGGAATCTAGGACGGGGATCGGAGGGGCAGCAGAGAGTGGGGAAATCGGGGCGGGAACAGCAATAGGGGGAGGAATTGTGGGTACACCAGGGGACATCGTGGATGATGGCAATGAGGAAACCGGGGCAGAAGGAACAACAGGGAGAGGGGCAAGTGAGGTCTCGGAAGAAATAATGCATGTCGGGGGAGTGGGAACAGGGATTGGAACAATGGGAGGTATGGTAGTGAGCGATAAGGAGGCAGTATCAGGAGGAGGAATAGGGAAGGATAGTGATGGTGATGGGGCGACATCAGTAACGACCTGGGGTAGTGAAGGAGAGGAGACATCAGTAGGGAGGGGAGCAGGAAGTGGGGAGGGAACGGAAATAGCGGTAATATGGCTGATGGTGATGGGAGAGGGACAGGATAGTAGTAAGATCCGTCCGCCCCGAGGACGTGGTACAGAGGGGTGGGAGTAGAAGGCCCTTTGGCAACGGGAGGTGGAACAATGGGGGGGCAGAGATGAGGCAGTGTCTGAGGAGGCGGGACATGGATCGCTTGTAGTATTTTGGGAGCCATCATAGGGTGGTGGCCAGGGAACAACAGTGGATGAATCATCATCATTGCAAACATTTCTGTGATACACATAAATCGTTTGCCCTCCAAAATCAATTTCCTCTTCTGACCAACCCTCCCGTTTGAGTCCTCTGGCTACACGATACCAAGCCTCTACGGCTTTTGTCAACCCATTATCCAGTAATATACCCTCTTTATCAATGAGCAATTTTCTCCAAAACTCTGGCTGTAACCTACCACTGGGTGACATTTGGAAACCACAAACCTTCGCTATCTTTTTCATCTTTAACATAGCTTCCTCTCTTGCTCTTTCTTTAACATTATCACAAGCTAAGAGACCCTTTGGGGGTCTAGCATATTCCTGTCCCATTTTTATCAAACAAGGTTCTCCCTGTAAGAGGGACAGAGATAGAGAGAGGAAAAAGAGAAGGAATGTCTACAGTGCTCGACTGCCACAAGGAATTGATTCCTGTGCGTCTTCCCAAAACGTAGATGTGACGAGACCAATCTCGCCACATTGCATTGGAGAAGCCTGGTTGCTCGCCTGCTGCCTTTGGACTATGGCCCCCTTTTAAAAGACTTTATTTTTGCCTGCAGAAAAGCTGTATTCGTGCTTTTCTGCCTGGGTTTCAGTAGATTTGTTTGAATGTGTTATACCCCAGATGGGAATCCTATGGAGCCCATTCGTATGAAACTGACTGTAAAGACTTTGGCTCCATGGTGATTAAACTGTATTTGTGTGGTCCGAGCGCCATTCACTTAATAATGTGCGCTCAGACCTGAGCTATCTGGGGATATGTGAAATGTCTGTGTGTTATGTGTAAAATGTAACTTTATGTATTTTAAAGTGTTTTACTGTCTTTGTGTCTTTTTGCAACCATGTGCTTAATGGAGTCTTGTGTCTGTCCTGGGAGATAATTGAATTACTTATCTCCAGGATAGAAAACTCTGAAACTGGTTTGGGCCAGAAAGCCATGCTTCATTTAGTCACAAAGGACTTTTTTACTAACTTTTGAACCCCTTGTCTGATTTGTGCCATTTTTTAATATGTTGTTCCCCTGAATGGATTGATTGTGCATATGTAATTTTATGTGAATGTGATGTATGGTTTTAGAGTTATGAAAGTTGGGTAGAAAGTATGTTTTAACTGTTTGTATAATTGAGTTTCCTCTCAGGATAAGGGGAGGGAATATGTGGGATGTAACTGTGATATGATTGGTTGTTTATCCCTCCCTGTGGGTGGTCCTGTATTTGAAACACTGTAATAAAAACCAGGCTGGGTGTGCCAGCACCTCAGACCACTGCTTGACCCTCAACACGGAGCCTTGTCTCGTTCTTGGGGGGATTCACTGTATGCTGTTAGAGACTGATTGCCAGGAGTGTAAGCTGTTCGCCTGCTTTTCCTGTTCGTCTGCTAGCAGCTATTTGGGAGGTTCCAGTTCGGGAGTTGGAGTGCTATTTTGTATCCAGTTCGTGAGTTTTGGTGTTCTGCAGTAGCTGTGCCTGGATCTCTGGAAAGGGGGCCGATCGCCTAAACGGTTTTTACCCCTTGTGTGCAAAACGGTCCGTTACAGTAGACTAGTCACGGGATCCGCCCACCCGAGATGGTGGCCACGGATCTGTGCAGGCGAGCGTGAATGACTAACACAGCTCTGGGCAACAAGTACAGAAGAGGTAGAGAATTAAGGAGAAAGTGAACGTAGAGAGACTAATCAATAAACATTTGCAAGAATCACAAATACAGAGATGTGCACATAATCCGGAATCGAGTACGAACCACACAACACACAAACGCGCAATGAGGGTACCCACACTATGGCCACAACTGAGCAAGAAACAAAGTATAACAAGGAACAATAAAAATGTGAACATAGCAGGGGGGCGGAGCCTGAACGGCGAAGAGAACGGTCGCAAGAGGGACCAGCTCCGTGTCCTAAACGAAGCTAAAACTACGTAAAATAACCCCCCTATACACCCGGACCAACGGAATCCACCCTAAGCACGTATGGGCCGGAGGGGGAATAAAATTAGCCCACACAAGCCCACATCAGGACTTACGATAGGAGAAATGTGGAGTCAGGCCCGGGGCACCGGCGAGTCCAACATGGCAGCGCTGGACGGAGAATGCTCAGACTTCTCCGAGGAGCTATCCGACGACATGGAGGAAGACTACACACCGACTCCCAACCCCAAGCAAAAGGTGAAACAATGGGGAGCTGGGACAGACTCAAAGCCAGTTACCACAGCGGTCCTCAAAGCACTGCTAGCGGACCTGCAGAAACACATCCACGAGGATGTCACAGCGCTCCGCACGGATATACAAGGCCTGACAAGCCGCATTTCCACTCTGGAGGGAGCCTCACAGGCCCAGGCCCAGGACATAATCTCTCTACAGCACTCCATACAAGAGCTGTGACAGCAGAACCAGCAACTTGAACGACGCATGGCAGCGCAGGAAGACTCCAGTAGGCAAAACAATATCAAGATCAGGGGAGTCCCTGAAGAAATATCAGAGGATGATCTGCCAAAAGTCATGTGGCGCTTACTGCCAGTGATTCTGACAAACAGTGACACCGTAATACCTGCACCAGAGGAGGTCTTCAGGGTCCCTAAACCTGCTAAGGCTCCGGCCACGGCCTCAAGAGATGTGATAATCACTCTTCGTAAACGTAAAGACAAAGCAACTATTCTCGCAGCCCTGCGGGGAAGAACCCCCCTCTGCTTTGAGACCATGAACCTGATATTCTACCCGGACCTATCCGGAGGCACCCTGGCCTGGCGTAGGTCACGCAAGCCGATCACCTCTGTGCTCCAATCCCACAACATCGAGTACCGCTGGCGCTCCCCAAGGGGACTGACGGTGAAACAAGGAGCGACCCCGCATATCATCCAGGACTTGCAAGAAGCACAGGCCCTACTGCAGACTCTGGGCCTGCCACATGAACATCTCACCCAGGTGGAGTTAACCAACGATACTCCTTCAACCCATACCTGGTCACCGGGCACACCGTTCATCCCACGAGACTCCACGCCGATTACTTACGCAGCGGTCACCTCCTAGGAGAAATACCATACACGCCCTGGGGGAACCTGACATACCGCCAGACACTGGGAAGGTAATAAATACGAAGCAGCTGGGACTATTCACAGTACCCCACAGCTGCCCGACTAACCACCCGACCAACTGCAATAGTAACACAGACGGCTAACGCTGACCCCATGATAACGAGGGCTACAGCTTTCTCCTATTCTCGACCATTACGGACTCTACAGGGCCCAACTTAAAGGAACAACACGGGGACTATGTCACTCTGGAACACCTGAACCCATCTTCTCCAGAGCATTGTACGCTCTATATCTACTGCCAGCCACCCACAAGAGACCCACTCCCAGAGACATCACCACTCAATGCTCACTACACTGGTTTCCTTAATCCTGACGCAGCAGCTTACAATCAACATACTTGTGATATTTTGTATACATGACCTCAACTTGTATATCTTATTGTGACAAACTACCTGGCCCATCCAGTGGACACAGGTGTCTAGATATCCAACAATCAGTAATAACCTAAGGCAGTCTGTAACCATTCATGTTTAACCTGTTTGCAGTTAATATGTTTAGATGCAACACGCGAGTCAAACACCTATTAAAAGGTGCAAAGTTAAAAATGGCCGCCCGATGTTTAGACTTTAACCTTTCCTCTGAAAGTGTGTTTCCTTAACGCCCTCATTGTTATTAGATCTAAAATTAATCAGTCCTAAGCCTTAACTATGGAACCCCCCAGGGACGATATGGCTCTGCCAAGCCGAGGCATTTAAATAAGATAAAAAAGGATACAGAGGCGCTAAAAATAGTCAAAACTGGTGCAGCTAAAATTTCCCAAGTGTAGTGTCACCAAATACACTTACAAACGTGATATAATAAAAAGAAAAGGAAAAAGGGTGATTAGCGCACACAGAATATAATGAGTGTTACCTTGTATTAAAATAATGTTTCGGGTAATCATACACATTAAAATTTTCTTGTGACCTGTACATAGGTAAATAAAATATACATAGTGTAACCTGTATATATACAATATATAAAATGAGGAAAGTTTGGGTCTCACTCACAATTTCCAGAGCCTTTTAAAAGTTGGCTCTAAACTTATGGCACTTCTCGTCTCTTCCTTGAGACACAGGTAACTGGTATAGGTGTAACCACAGGAACCTGGAACTGATGAATTAGCAGCAGACTCCAAAAATAAGTAAGGAATTATTTTTATTGTGACAAATTGTTAAAATAAAAAGTGTATATATATACAAAAAAGTAGTATAAAAGCACAACGCGTTTCAACCATACATAGGTCTTTCTCAAGTGCATCTAATTTCACTCTGAGCTCAAGATTCTTTATATATCAGAGGATATCAATTAATAAGTGCAATAATTGGTAACATATGTTAAAACAATTTCCACCCACTTCCATATATGGTCATGGCCGGAAGTGTCATGCCAAACAAAACATGGCCGCACTTCCGGCTATAGACCGGTCCCACCAGTCCTCCCCAACATGTCCGCCGGCTCCCTCACAGAAAATCACATTATCCATTCAGTAAGGTTCAGTTGGGAGTGTTTCGTCTGCTGGCTCCGCCCACTTTTATTCCGGCGCGTCACTTCCTGTGACGTGGGGTTCCCGGTCCGTGTAAGTCACATGATCGGCATTCTGAGAGTCCATTTAAGATAGGGCAAAATGCCCTCAGTTCATAATGTTCCAATATAAATATGAATAAATAGAACAAATAGGGAGTTAATAAGTACTTATTAACTCCCTATTTGTTCTATTTATTCATATTTTTACTAGTTTAATACTACCTTAATCCACCCCTTTGTGTGTTCAAATATGCATGAAATAAATTTATACAATATATCTATTCTTATATATATGAAGGATTTCTAACTATTTCGTTTGTATATTTTACTATTTCCCTTCTCTTATATTGGAACATTATGAACTGAGGGCATTTTGCCCTATCTTAAATGGACTCTCAGAATGCCGATCATGTGACTTACACGGACCGTGAACCCCACGTCACAGGAAGTGATGCGCCGGAATAAAAGTGGGCGGAGCCAGCAGACAGAAACACTCCCAACTGAACCTTACTGAATGGATAATGTGATTTTCTGTGAGGGAGCCGGCGGACATGTTGGGGAGGGCTGGTGGGACCGGTCTATAGCCGGAAGTGCGGCCATGTTTTGTTTGGCATGACACTTCCGGCCATGACCATATATGGAAGTGGGTGGAAAATTTTTTAACATATGTTACCAATTATTGCACTTATTAATTGATATCCTCTGATATATAAAGAATCTTGAGCTCAGAGTGAAATTAGATGCACTTGAGAAAGACCTATGTATGGTTGAAACGCGTTGTGCTTTTATACTACTTTTTTGTATATATATACACTTTTTATTTTAACAATTTGTCACAATAAAAATAATTCCTTACTTATTTTTGGAGTCTGCTGCTAATTCATCAGTTCCAGGTTCCTGTGGTTACACCTATACCAGTTACCTGTGTCTCAAGGAAGAGACGAGAAGTGCCATAAGTTTAGAGCCAACTTTTAAAAGGCTCTGGAAATTGTGAGCGAGAGCCAAACTTTCCTCATTTTATATATTGTATATATACAGGTTACACTATGTATATTTTATTTACCTATGTACAGGTCACAAGAAAATTTTAATGTGTATGATTACCCGAAACATTATTTTAATACAAGGTAACACTCATTATATTCTGTGTGTGCTAATCACCCTTTTTCCTTTTCTTTTTATTACAAGCCGAGGCATTGGCTGACAGTGCCATGTGCACTCGAGCGAGGTACCCACGTCCCCCTCAGGACTTACAGCCAAACCCAGCTTGCAGGTACCAAACCAGGCAATATTAACATACATATGTCAAGTTAATTTTATGCTCGACCGAATCTCAGCAGATTGCATTTACTCATCTATTTAGTTACCCTCAGTGACTTAACCAGAGTTAACTTACTGATCAATCTTTATTGTGTTTTAACGCGTTCGCATATATCAGAACCTCGTACAAATTACTCACATCAAGTGTACTTCACCATGGGTACCTACAGTATAAATGTCATTAATAGACTAAAAACTTTTTAACTAAACTTGTTAACCTGTTTCCTAGCGACATCCTAGCCTTAATATTACATGTTGCTGTCCTAGCTTGAAACATAACTGTTAACTCAACATATCTCTCAACCCTGTGGGGACCCAGGAATGTTATAATAATGCCTAGAAAGAAATGAAACTTATTGTTGAACCCAAAACCATATTAATCATAGCCTGTTTTCTCTACCATTACACATGTTACTTTACAATTTTAACCCCTTAAGGACACATGACATGTGTGACATGTCATGATTCCCTTTTATTCCAGAAGTTTGGTCCTTAAGGGGTTAAAAATGTATGCAAACTTAACATGCCACACATTTGTCCTAACTATGATTTCTGAGCCTGTTGATGCTGTTGTGGTGACACAGGTAATGTTGTATCTCCCTGCATACCAAAAATAAAGAATAAAAAAAAAAAAAAATGTGAACATAGCAATGGTTAAACAGTAAATAAACTCTGTTCTGCTCTGAACAGTGCAACACAATTCACAGCCTTTCTCTAGGCTATCCCCAGCCCTTTACCGGGCGGACAACAAAAACCCCAACCCTTCACTGGGTGGTCAACAAAATCCCAGCCCTTTACAAGGCGGTCGCGTCCCCTGCCCGCTAGGCAGTCAAGCAATAACAATAAATGCATCCCCTACCCGCTAGGCAGTCAAGCTATAACAATAAATGCGTTCCCTGCCCGCTAGGCAGTCAAGCTATAACAATAAATGCGTTCCCTGCCCGTTAGGCAGTCAAGCTATAACAGTAAATGCGTCCCCTGCCCTCTAGGCAGTCAAGCTATAACAATAAATGCGTTCCCTGCCCGCAAGGCAGTCCAGCTATAACAATATATGCGTTCCCTGCCCGCTAGGCAGTCAAGCTATAACAGTAAATGCGTTCCCTGCCCGCTAGGCAGTCAAGCTATAACAATAAATGCAAACCACGAACCCGCCATCACACACACACACACAACTTTCAGGAGGCAGATAGACAATCGACAGGTTCGTTAAAAAGGCACTGGATAAGAGATTACCTGTCTTGTAGCCTTCTGGAAGCCAGAAGTGGACACGGAGACAGACCGACACAAAACAGGAGAATACAGGCAAACCGCTATATTAGGAGGTGATCAGGCTCCGGTTGTCCTACTTTCCGGAGTTCCGCTCCGGTCCCGGTTTCCAGCCGTCCAAACCGGCAAGACCCGGTGCCCCATGTTGGGCGCCAAATGATGTGGAAATCAATCAATAAATTGATTATCTTGTGTATCTGCCCCTGGCCAAATTAAAGAAATAATGCGTGCACGCTCCTGAAGTAATTCACACCAGACACAAGTTTCAGGTTAATGAAAAACTTGGGGAATGTTTATTCAGGGGGGACGACATGTACCTTATAAAGCAAAATTACATCATAAGCATTGTCAGAGATAACATGAAATAATACATCAATAATTGGTTAGGTGTTAAGTGATTCATTTAATGCTCTGCCTACTGAGGGTGATGTCACCGGCATCTTGGAGGTTTCCCCCAGATTCCAGCGCCATCTTGTTAATGAGGGTGTTAGTTGATGTTAAAGGGGAAACTCCCTAGCGGCCATTGTGGGTAAATCACATAGAAAGTTGAATAATGCTGATTGTAGTTGTTTTGAGTAAATAGGCATTTTACTGATATAAATTGGGTTAATATTTTTGTCCACAACACCTATAG